ACATAGGGTCTGAAAGCAGAATCTACACAAAACATCCTTGCGTGAATCCAAACATTAGTTACAAGTTTCTTCCGTATCTTATTGATTGCAGACACCCAAATACTTTGGCTCCTTATAACACCACGGTACATAACAACTTCACAAGTGTGCCTACCATGTACATTGCTATTTGTATCTGTTTGTATTTGCCCTCTTCGAAGTTGGCATGATCGAAGGACATCCGCAGCTAGATAACCAATTATTTGCACAATCCGTTCGCTACAAGCTAATTGCAGCAACAGTATTGGAACAATGCTTGATAATACCGTATCATGCACCTCTAAAAATAGATCTAGCCAGCTATAGGGAATCAATAGTTGCATTTACACCGGGAGCAAAAATCATCAATTTTTCTCACTTTACCATGTTTTGTTGCATTGCTAGTTGCCAAGCAATTACCGGCAAACACAATGAAAACCAAGCCAAATTCGAAAAACCCACCTCTCGTGTGTGGTTTGTTTAAATGCCTGTAGAAATTTTACAGATTTTTGCAGTGTACATGTAAATGCCCACTCTCGAAGCATTGCTGAATGATTTCGGTTTTTGGTCATGTCACTTTGCAATCACATGCCGAGCAGCGCCAAGTCACAATTGCGCACTACTCACAGAAAAATCAGAATGAACAAAGACAAACACGGGTTCTTCCAGCAGTTTAAATGGAAGTCAAAAAAAAAAAAAAAAAAGATTTATCAAAATGGTGTTGGGGCTGTGTGAATGGGCTTCATTGTACATGGACATCGCTTTATATATATATATATGCACATGTACATACATGTATGTACTGGGAATAATCCCGGATTCTTCATATGGGAGGGGGCAAAGTTAAATGAAAAGTTCCCTCTGGACTTTCTCGAGCCAAAAAAAATTATTTAAATGTAAGTTTCATATCATTTTCCCTTCGTTGGTGTGCATATCAATCAGTATCAAGTTCTTGTACAAAATCAATATATCCTGTTGCCACAACATATGGTACTTAAAAGTTGAAACGTATCCAAAACATGATGGAGATCATCCATCACTAATATGTCCCAATTCTTTCAGATTAAATCTAATGTTCAGAAACCGAGCACAATCAAGTTGAGTAATTTATGGCCTGGAGCATTTCTCTTTATGGAAAGGAACAATAGACGATGACATGCTATAGCACTCAGAAAATGGCCCAGACTTTTGGCATTCATCACCTACAATTAATGGTGATCCCTTGGTGGGGCTTTCATAGAAATTAGAACAAATGCCTATAACCAAAACCAGGATGCTGGTGACATCAGTGTCTTGGTACTTGAGTTTGCATGTCTGTGAACTTTATGCATAGTATCAGTCTTTGAACTGTTCATATTAAAGGTAATACAAAGTTTTGGGAAATTTTGAAAATTGGGTGGATAGTAAATCTTTACAATTTTTATATATTTGGATGCCCCTGTGGATGTATTATAAGCACTAAAAAAATAAGCTCCTAAAATACTTCTGTTTTCGAGAAAAATTGAATATCAAAATTTACCGGTGCTCCCGGTAAATTTTGATGAATTTCAAATAGCGCCTGCGACCATAAGAATCTCAGAAAATGTAGTTGGGATACATTATATAATTTCCAAACGGGAATAGCTAATCAGTCGATTTTAGTCTAGAAACATTGTTTCATAGCTAAATTAATATCTTGACCTTGAGAGGGAGCTATGCAACATAAAGAGTTTATTATTTATAATTTCATAACTTTAGACTCAATTTTCAACTGCGACAATGTGTATATTGTAGGAATGCATATGCTTCCAATATGTTAATTTGAACCAAATACATGACCTAAACCAAAACTTTGTAATACCTTCAAAATAATACACCATATTTTATCAACACACCAAAACAAATAAATGAATGAATTTGTTAATACAATTAAAATGTATAATTTTGGCATGATTTTTAAGGCACAAGAAAAAAAAACTTTTCATCAGCTTTATTCATAAAAGGTCAAGATTATTCATTGTTGAAATTAATCTCAATTCTAAGACGGAAGGTGGCAACTTCACCTTTTATTTTTTCTCAAATTGAAGGATTTATTTTGAATTAATTTCCAAGTTGCATTTTTTAGGGTGTCATTTTTTCTGATACGTCTGTTTTTGTTATGTTTTTTCTTTCTTTATTCGCTATTATATTTCAGTACATTATCTGTTTTGTCTTAAATCTTATGGATTTCAAAATCAATGAAACATATATGAATTTTGAAAACTCTATGACAGAAGGTACTATGTATTAAGATAATCAATTATCAAATAAAACATGTAGATGTTCATACTACGGTACTACCACCCCCCCCCCCCCCCCCCCCCTCGCCCCTCATAAAAAAATTCTTTGATCGTATTGTATGTTCATGTTGTAAAATACAAAACTTTAAAAAGGAAGTTGCAGACTGGTCGCAAAATCATTACTTATCAGAAGGACTGAATAAAACAAAAAAACATGAGGCAAAGCAGCAAGTTTCTTTGAGAAGACTTACATGTACTTTGCCTTTGGTCTATCCACAGCACTTTACAAGAAAATTTTACAATGCATTTACATTGTTCAAGTACATGTAATTAACTTAGGGTAATAAACTTAGTTTTCATGACCACTATAGTTGCAACATTACCTGTTAATTTCATTGTGCTGCCTTTTTATGAGGGCTAACAATACAAGGCAACACAATACCAGTGAGTTTTACGACTCTCTTTCTTAACCACAACACAATTTGACTGAGTTTCTCTTTGTAGTATAGTTACAAATAGACCTGTGTACTACAGCAGCACACCTTTTTATTGAACAAAAGTTTCTCTCAAGGACTAAAAGGCTTGCCCAACATAGCAGTAATCAATGTATGTATATAGTGAATTCCATTTTAAAAAGATGCCATTTCGCAAATTGCAGGTGAATGAACAGTTGTTAACTAAAAGTTCAGATGAACATATAGTTAAACTTGAAAAACAAGAGTAAACAGGAAGATTCAACATGGCTTGTACCGCTTCCAAATCAATATGTGCAGGTACAATGTAAACTTGATACCGGTATGTACATTACTTCTACATGTCCAGGTTCATTGTGTACATGGCCCATTGTCCTTAAAATCAACATTTGTGTTTCCATGGTTGCACCAAGCAATGTTGATCTTATCAAGCAAGTGAGAAAATGTTGGAACATAAAACTTATGCATGGTTAGCACAAACAAGCTACAGCAAGCTACAGCAACATGTTCATGTGCAGGTACTGTATACTGCAGTGTCATTGTTATTTTCCAAATAAAACAGCAGTCACAGAAAGTTTGAAGGTGTGAACCTGTAAAAGGGTGACAAGCATAATTTACACAACCATACCAATGTTTTGATTATCGCCATTATTACACAGGTACAAACTTTCCATACATGTTGAAAAATATGTTTTCTTTTGCTCCAGTCTTGCACTCTCTCTGGTGTGTCAGCATGATTTAGACTCGAGTATACCAGAAAAATTCTTATCATTTGGAAAAATGTATCTTATTATTTGTTGTTGTTTGTTGAGATCTATGGCATTGTGTAAATACACACTGTAGGGATGATGATGATTTTTTTATGGAGTTCAATTGCTTCTGTTATAAATTCTGAGACTGAAAATTATTATAATGATGTGCAGTCCCATTTCCGATGTAGATCTAATTGTAATTAATATTTGCAGGTTTGAATCCAGTCTTGATTCGTCTATGATTATATCTGCTTATAATTTGCGAATGATCTTAAACTGTCCAAAAATGACTAAATATATCTCCCAGTGTGGGTCTAGTTCACAGTACTTTTACAGACACTGCTCAACACCTTTTTGGGGGGCAGTCCCCCGCCCCTCTGCTCAAAAAAGGGAGACAAGTTCTGGTAAAAAAAACGGCTGTTGTGCATGCAACGAGGGTAGGGTTACCGTCTGACATCTATAACTGCGTACATGTACATATACATGTACATTATACTGTATGAGGAAGGTTGACAAATGTGATTTATTAAAGAACTTCCCAGGCCATACCCAGTAGGGGCGCTCGTCCGAGTATGAAGATCGTCTGCATAATCAAGGATATCCTTGTAAACGCGGACAAATTCGCATCCTAAAAAGTAATGATCTTTTGCATTTTTGCAGAAGTTTTTATTCTTCGGCGCTCTGCGGGTGCCGATCCGCGGGCTACCAATGCAAAAAAAATGGATAATAAAATACCCCCAGTTTAATAACCGTCTACTTTCATGGGTTGTCAGCCTTTCCGAGGATTTATTGCTTATGTTTAACATGACAGTCTCTGTAAATTTTTTGCGGACGATCTTTTATTTTTTCGGACGCGTCTGTCAGTTTTCACGAAAACGATCCTCGTTTATCTGTTTATGCGGACGATCCATATTCTCGGACCGGCGCCCCTACTGATACCAAATCATGGTTATTTCTGTCTAGAATCACATCTGCATGAATCGAAATATTCCACACTCTCACAGTCACAACTTCAGACAAAACACACATCAGTCTTCACTCAACTTCAACTTTAAGTCAACTGAGCCAGGCCGAGTCCGGGCCTCACACTCAGTCTCAGATCACACTGTCATGTCACAAACACAGCTCAGTCGCCTACACTCTCCACTCGTTTCTCAACTGCCCACTTAATCTAATGGAATATCCAACTATTAAATATTCCAGTAATTGGTGGCTGCTTTACTTGGTCTTAGTCTAGTTTTGTACGTGCATGCAAACAAATGTCATCTCATAAACATTGACGGTCTATGACCCGTGCCGTAGGCGTGTGCAGCAGCTGATGCATGCTAACATGTACACTGGAGATGCACTGGTTGGGCGGCGGAGCTGAGAAGCGTCCTGCGCTGCCAGGGATACGAACGGAGGCGGAAGTAAAAGAAAACTAGCTATTATGGCCACAGAAATTAAATGTCACGGTGAACAAAATATTAGCGAAATCATATCATGGTTTAAAGACTCACCTTTCAATATATGTCATGAAAACTAAGCGTAAATAGAAAGACTGTGCCCAAATTTGACCAAACTTCGTCTCATTTACCGCACTGGCAAGTTCGCTATCGATCGCAAGATGATAAGTATACTCGCCTGTGATTGGTTGAATTTCGGTAAATCTACGGTGGTAGTAAACAGCAAAACACGAAGCTAAAAAATTGTTGTATTTGAATTTTCGAAGATGGCGTTTGTCAAGTTTTCACAAATTTACTAATTAACTCTCTATTCCTATGTACTAATGGAGAGACAGTTGTGGCTGCCTCCTTATTGATCCTTTGTCAATGTTTGTCTGAATAGTAACCAAACTGTTAAGCAGGCACTGTGCCTGTCATTTAAAGCAATGTTATTTGTTTGTTATAAGCTTAAATGACTGTAATATGTTATTGATATAATACTCTTGTCATTGTCATCTTTAATTCTAAATTGTTTCGTTATTCATGTTTTGTTTTTTTATAGCCCCCCCCCCCTCTCTCTCTCTCTCCCTCGATCTCTTTCACTTCATCCGTCTCCCATATCTCTCATTATTTATCCCCCCCCCCCCCCCCCTCTCGCTTTCGGTACATCCTACCTCCCCTATCTGACACACACCATCTCTGTCTGTCTCTCTCCCTCCCTCCCTCTCTCTCACTCCCTCTCTCTCTCTCTCTCTCTCTCTCTCTCTCTCTCTCTTCTCGCCACATGCATTTGTTTTGTAGGCACTAGCATCCCCTGCCTTTCGAGCCTACACAACACTATATGACCATTCCAAGACACAATAATGTATGACACAGAAACTTTTAATATCAACATTCATCTAATGCATGTTTATTTCATGTGACGATAATCCATATTTCGATGCATCATATACACACCATCAATTCCTTTTGAAAAAACTGACATTCTATTCATTTTCATCTGTCTCATCTAACAATAGATCATATCAACACAGACCAGAACTTTGTATCACATAATTCACATATCAAAACATTTATGATTATTGTATTAACGATATGATTATACTCTAGTCAATGGTATAAGAGTATGCTATCGAGAGAGAAAAGAGTATTTGACAATTTCTTTTATTCAATTCTATTAGAAATGCACAGCCTTCTGGAAATATTGAAGCTGCAAACAGGAAATACATTATTATTGATTCAGGTAAATTGTTTATTCTTTGAATTGCGCAAAAGTCACTGTTTTGCAGGATCCCATCGATAAACATGGGGAAATAAATACATGAACGAAACAGAACAATTGAAACTTACTGCATTGTAATGCTAAATGATATAAATATTAGTATACAACTTGTAAGATATCATAACATATGACCATAACAATGTTAAACAGTTGACCACTGAATTTTCTCGTTCCCAAGGTTTAACCCAGGAACAACCAGGTTCCCATACACAACAGACACAAATGAAAAAGGTTTCAGTATAAGTTCTTCTCTCTATCTATATTAACCCTTCCTCTCATATTCACTTGTACCAGTATTGTCAGCCCTTCTTTCAGTCCTTCAGGTAGTATTTCAAAACAACATTTGATATCACCATATCAGTAAAACCTTTTCTGTTGGAAAATTACTATATCTTAGACTTTATCGAGCCATACATTACATTATAATTTGATTTGCCTAGAGTTTCTGCCATTGCATTTCACACATGGAGCTTAAACCATGCAGGGGTGGGGGAGGGGGGAGGGGCCAGAAAGTTTACAAAAATACTAAGGGTTAAATTCTCCATGACAAGGGTACATTCTAATAGATAATCGTAATGAATATCCATATTTAAGCCTACTCTTAACCTGCAAAATTTCTTTGGTCCTTTCGACCAACCATCCTTTAGGATGATGCCAGGCTATATACCAGTTCATAGTTGACTTTGGTACAAATCGTCCGTTTTCACGAAGTGACGGTAGTGAGAAAAATCGTCACGCAAAGTGAATGCAATTTTTTTTCACTACCGTTACTTCGTGAAAACAGCGACGAAATGAACCCTCAACAAACAACCACAGATCTTTTACACATAAAGACATCCCACTTTGTGCATTTTAGAATTATCAATGCCAAAGTGACGGAGGTGCTTCATGAATACTTTTGGTTCCACCTTTTGAGAAAAATACTTCCACGTGTGTATCAAAGAATGTACCGTCCATGAATAAATGATTAAGGATTACATAACTTTCATGGTTACAAATCCGGTATTCATCTCTGTGGGTTTTACAGTTGACCTTTATTTGCCCATGCGTAGATTGTATCCACAAACTGGCTTGTTATTTGACTATTTGGGACCAAGGGGCACAAATACTTGTAAAATACATGTAACTTACTCATTGATATGGTTAATCATTCGTTCTGTCAATCACTAACTATCATAACTCCTTCATGCATTCTTTCTTTCTTTACAGCATTCATTCTATTGGTTAGTTTTATCCATCCTTCCTTCTATCATGAACAGTCAATCACTCATTTTTCCTACCACCGAAAACCCATTATCAAACCATAACTGGATGTTAAAACCCCCTGGTTGCTTTCTTTGCCTTACTGCACAGTTGCTCATTTGCCACGCGAGCAATTTGGCACAAAACAATAGGCATCAATTTAGGGGAAAATTGCATTACAGCCCCACTGCACTACATATAGCTACTTGCGCCCTCTATATATAGCAAACAATGCCTAATCGGTGACCATTGGTTCCCCATGGTCCCCTTTTTCTTATGTTAATTGAGGGCTGATTTGATGAGATAACCACCTGTCAGTGACCTTGCAGGGAGGTCTAATCCTTCCTAGCCAAACTAGTGCAGACAGGCTTTGAGCACCCTACACTGGAAACATCTCTCCCATGATAAATACATTGTGGCACTGGGAGATCACTTATGTGGCATGTCATCTGTTCTTCTGTCAATCCATTTTTTAGCACTCTTCTCACGATATGTCCCGTTCCCACTCAATCTGCGCCACACTCCTTTATTTCAGGTCTCTCCATCCATACCTAGCATTTTTATTAAATCAGTGACTGAAATTTAGCCCATCTCTCTATCATTATCATTTGGTTCTTCTGTCTATCCATCCCTAGGACCTTTTATTCCTATTTGCGCTGGCAGCTTGATGCATATTTTGATTTTTCAAAATCCATATTCAAGCAGTTTTGTCTTCCTATCAATGACTGGTATCCCAATCAGTTCTTCTATCAAGCATTCCTTACTACCCTTTCTTACTATATATGCTGTTAGCACAAAACCCATCCCTAGCACTCTTATATCTTCTTATTGTTAATATTTGATATTCAGTCCATCCCTTCTGTTATGATCATTCAGTTCTTCTGTCAATCGATCTCTAGGACTCTTTCTTACTATCCAAAGCCATACATGTACCATTCTTCCTCAATAAGTCTCTCAATCCATACCAGGAATTTGTCTTACTATCAGTGATTGGTATTTCATTTCAGTTCTTCTGTCAATCCATCTCTAAGACTCTTTCTTACTATCTAAATCCATACATGTACCATGTACCCATTCTCCCTCAATAAGTCTCTCAATCTACACCAGGAATTTTATCCATCAGTGATTGGTATTTCATTTCAGTTCTTCTGTCAATCCATCCTTATGATTCTTTCTTACTATCTAAATCCATACATGTACCATGTTCCATTCTCCCTCAATAAGTCTCTCAATTTAACCAGGAATTCTATCCTTCAGAGGTTGGTATTTCATGTCAGTTCTTCTGTCAATCCATGTCTAGGACTCTTTCTTACTATCTGAGCTGCTGGCGATCACACCAAGGTGACTGTTTGTAAGGAAGTCACATGACGGCATGCTGGAGACGGCCTGATGAACGTGAAGGGGTAGAATCTCCTCAGGAAGTCTACAAAAATATTACAAAATATAATTTATACTAGAGTAAACTGGATTTTGACATATTGTTCATGATTTTAATTTATCTTCTCTTCTTTGTTTTCTGTTTTTTTTCATGACTGATATCTGGGGAGTGTTTCACTAAGACTAAGATCGGCTTTAAGTTGGACTTAATTATGGCAGGTAATTCATGCCACTGGTTGCTCTCACCATAATGATCTTTAGATAATATTTCTTCCTTCAATAATGAACTATCAAAAAATGTTAATTTTGTAGATTTGTGACCATGATTTATACATGCCTTGAAATACCAATGCCAGTAAATTGTGAGAGAAAACAGTGGCATGAACGGCCTGCCATAGTTGAGTCCAACTTAAAGTCGATCTTAGTCTTTTTTAAACACTCCTATGACGTTACATTTTTATTTTCACTTATCATTTTGATCATCATCTAATACTTTGACAAAATATTCACTAAAATACTACTATTGAGATAAAGAGGTTTGCAAAGTTCATTTTCAAGATTTAACTTCATGTTGTACATTCATTCAAATCATCTTCTTTCTCTGACAATTTCATACTTATTTTAGTTTCTCACTTTTTAATTTCATATACCTGTCATTTTTGGAATTTCAAGTAAACAAGAATATAAAAGTAAATTTGTTAAACATGTTTAACAAATACAATATCAATACAAATAACTCTGCATAACTAGAAGTCACACAAATCAAATTTTTCCAATGTTGAATCAATTTGTTTGACCAAACTATGAAAAACATGAGATATTTACACTTCCTGAGTTGCATTTTGCCTGTGAATTATTTTTTGCAGTCCCAACAGGTTCAACTAATGCTGAGTTAACTGAAGATATAAGTAGATAACTATACATTTATGGAGAGGGAGAGGAAGAAATGGAACAACCAATGAACATATATTAAAATTAGTTAAAAACATAAATAAGAATAGTAATAAATACATGTAGTATTCTATACCTGTGATCTTCCCTCTCTCCAAAGCTCTTAGATAGAGACGCTCTGACGAGATCACTGAGGAATTGTCTGGTTGCCTGAGGAAAAATCAAGAAAAAAGAATGTACTTGTTAATCCTTGTTCAGTTATCCCTCTTAGTATTAAATAAGAATATTATAAATTACATGTATATTCTATTTGTGCGTAGAAGCAAATGTGAGGGTTGTCTAATCACATCACAGTGACATAACCAATTTCCTAATTTGAAGAAATATGTAAAATGGTCTAAAAAGGAATACAAAATAAAAGGAAAGGTTCAATTGAATTACTAATTTCATTTGGAGACGCATAGTAGTGGGCTGTTATGGGGAATTGACACCATTTCGCATGATTACCTAATAACTGGTGTTGTCAATCACCAGGATTAGCCTTCAGTTTTATGACCAACAGGCTGTACATGTATGTAATGCTTCACATTTTTGCATATGGAAAGTCATTATCTTTAATACATTTCCCTCACCCAAGAATCTCTGAGAGACCAGGGGGTATTTCTTGATGGGGCCACGGGTTTGCTGTGTGCGAGCCTTGTACACCCGTTAATGGTATTTCCACCAAGTCTGGTGTCAGCGAATTATGACCTACCTACTGCACATGGAAACTGACTACCATCTCCCCTTAAAAAGCTTTCACCAATCTTTTGTCACTGAATTTTGTTTCTGCCTCATAGAAAATAATGTTAAAAGTTTACCTATCTAGACAGATTCTACAGCATTAACACATTTTTTCCTCTCTATCGATTCAATTCAATTAAATAAAGGTTTATTCAAACATGTCTCGCAGACAGTGGCTGAATTGCACATGTGTACATGTACATGTACATACAAGTATATGGTTGTAAATTTCATCAACATGTATCGCATGAAATATACGGTAACCATATTTTACACTTTAGCATAAAATTGATTAAAGGTACTATGTCCCATTTGCAGGCCAAAAAAATGAAAAAGTTAAATTCCAACTGCATTTGAAAGATAATACTAATTTAGAACTTCCCTAAAAAAGATGGGGCTTGAAAATGTCTTCAAGTGGGAAAATAACGACTATAAGTTGTCAAATCGACTTTAGGGCTATAGAGCCCAAAAGTAATAGTCTTGATTTTCAGACAATTGTACCGAATGGTCATACGTTTTATGCTGCGCAAAGATTCAATCAGTTTAATCTTGGCCATCACAAGAAGTGGGTTATTGATGTAGACAAAAGCTCATGTATCCTTTACAACTCTTTTCATGTATGTCATTACCAAAGAAGAAAAAAAGCCAGTCAGTCACTCAATAGTGTCTGACAGTGAAGTCTAGCAAGTAAACGGGTTTCCTTGCATAATTTGAATATGAGGACACTGCTAACGTTTAAATTTCACAGATAGGACATACATGACATATTCATAATTCCTGCAAAGTTCTACAGCATTTGAGGTTGGCTGCAAAAGGGACATAGTACCTTTAAAATTGATTGAATCAAATCATACACTAAAAATAACAGCGAACATATATATTACATATGAGGTGAAAAAAAAATGAAAAAAAACCCCAAAATGACCACTATAGACAAATTGCCTTTATATAGAGGGTGCTACAACAACAGAATTGAATGTATACATGTACTTACAGTATATATCATTTCTTGGATGACCGGAGAATAAGTATCTTCCCCGACTTGTATCGGTCTAAAGTGAACACCAATCTACCAGTAGCAAATAAAACAGAGAAAGGGAGTGGTAGGGAGAAAATTAAAGCCAATATGTCACTCTAAGAACTGCTTCACAAATCTTCACTTTGATACAAAGTATCAAAGAACAAACAAGTCCCCAATGATTCCAGGTACCTGTAGATAATTCTGAACAATACACAAAGTGTCAACTTGTGCACAAATCGCTCTAAAAATGAAGGCGTAAACACTGTACATGTATGTGTATAAATGAACTATGACGTTCAATTTGGGATGAAATCGCACCGACAAAGGGCGTGTCTAACATGAGGCACATTATATACTTGCGGTTTTAATCTCTTATAAACGGCAATTGAAAGACCAACACACAGATTATACAAAAATGATTTTAATATCGTATCATCAGTGTACTCCATAATGATGAAGTAACCTTGGCTAACAGAACTTCCCATATCAAAATACTATTGTTTAAAATGTCTGAGACCATCCTAGAGGTATATGTACATATTATCTAGCGTTATAAAAAGGGTCCAAGAATGTAGCCAACGAGAAGCGTCAAAATGGATCACGTGACCGTACATTATTTTTTACTATATGCACGGTACCATCTGCATGGGGTGCATTTTGGTGATAACAACCGTGGATGAAGGTTGCGGGGAGACATCTTATGGCCTTATTAAGTAAGATTGTCGACCAATTTTATAAAACAAATAATATGCAAGTTTTCATTCATGACGTTATGGCGATGCAGCACTATTCGAGTATTCACAATGGCACAAAATTCATGAGGCGTAGCCGAGTGTATTTGTACACTCGGCTACGCCTCATGAATTTTGTTGCACCATAGTGAATACCCTCATGCGCTGCATCGACCATAACACACTCACACCTGTGTATTATTTTTTTACCGGGAATATCATACAATTGCTCATAGAAACTCCATAAAGGAGCACAAAATGAGGCACAGCATTCAAATTATCTTTGCACATCAGAGGGATGTTTCACAAAGATTCTAAGTTGAACTTATCTCTAAGTTGGACTTAACAATTATGGAAAGCCATTAGCATCCCTGAAAGTATTTTGTGAAAGTTATTTTAAAAGGCATAAAATGTTGATTCAAATCATTCATATTTTCTATTATCAAGGAGATTTCATGTTCTTGATGTGGAATTAATGAAAAGTCTAAAATACTTGAAATTTTGCTTTGGAATATACTTCATTATAAGGCTACAAATGGCTCTCCATAATATTTAAGTCAAACTTAGAGTTAAGTTCGACTTAGAATCTTTGTGAAACACTCTCCAGGAGCAATGCTACAAACCTTCTCTGCAGCCTCTCTCACACAAAGAGCGCCCTCGCTTGGTGGCATGAAGCACTTCAGCTGCTGTTTCTCCTCCGCACCCTCCGTCTTCACCTTCAACCTCTTGGAGGGGTCACCCAAGCTGATGATATCGATCTCCATATCATCGTCCTCGCTCATGCCTCGCCTGAGGGACTGGCAGCTCTTCAAGCGTTCACCCAGCTCCTCCGGGACGCTGAAGGTCGTGTTCTTTAGCACACCTGGGATGGATGGAAGCGACAGAATGCAGTGAGTAAAAGAACACTAATTATATAATAATAATAATAATAATAATAATAGCTCACATTTATAATGCGCCTAATACTTTGTTTCTAGACGCAGCACATATTAATACCCCGGTCATCAAATTCAGACTTACCCCAAACACAATGTTTGCACATTTCCCACTCGCAAGTGTAGACTAATGCCTTGCTAAATGTCATAAGTTGTGTCGGGGATCGAACCCTCGACCTATGTATTTCAATTCAAGTGATTCAACCACTCGACCACGGCACCTCTCTTGTTAAGAAGAGAACTACCTAAACTGGGCGTTGTGGCGTGCGCCTGTAATCCAGCGTACAATGGAAGTTACAAACTGATTCAGCCGAGGACGCAGGTTTGAAACTGAGTCACGTCTTTCGGATGGTTAGTTTAAAGGTCGGTCCCCAGGGGTAAATAATCATATCTGATTGATACACCTCTGTAAAAACACACATACACACACACACACACACCTGTTTTACTGAGATGGTTTCTCAGACACCCTGTAGTTCCTGCACTCCTTTCGTCCGTCTTCTCACTTCTTTGACAGTTGACCTCGCCACAGAACCTGCATCTTGACCTCTGGGTTGAGCTCTTCAATCCTACAAGGAAAAAAAATCAAATGAAACACTAGAAATAAGTGAAAAGTATTTTAAAGCCCCACTGCACTACTTATAGCTAATTGCGCCCTCTATATAGCAAACAATGCCTAATCGGTGCCTGTTGGTCCCCCATGATCCCCTTTTTTTCTTATGTTAACTGAGAGCTGATTTGATCAGATAACCACCTGTCAGTGACCTTGCAGGGAGGTCTAATCCTCCCTGGCCAAACTAGTGCAGAGGGGCTTTAAAGGGATTGGGTAATTTTACAAAATATTTTCACAGATGCTAACGGCTTTCCATAATTGTTAAGTCCAACTTAGAGATAAGTTCAACTTAGGTTCTTTGTGAAACACCCCCTGGACCCCCTGGATTTGCTACTGGACCTAATTGGCCAGGATATCCTATCCCGTATGTAGAGTGTAGTATCTCATGGTATTAGGACCTCTGTGTTCTTGATGAGTGAGAAACCTTTGTGGCAAGTTCTCTCCTGGTCAGAGATCTTGCCATCATCAAGGTAGCTTATTTCAGAGTATGTATAAGACACCTTTGAATTATCAAAATATCTTTTTTGTCATACGTATTTGAACAGATAAAGTAGAATTTGTTCCAAGCCTATACAACAATAAATCAAGGAAATCTTACTACACTTTTCTGAGACCTTATCAATACTGTGTATGGGCAAATAATTCCCCCCTCGTGAAAAAATCAATACAGAGTTAAGTTTAAAGTTACTGAACTATTGATCCCATTTAATGGTGTAGACCAGTTTTGGAAACGCCCCCCCCCCCCCTCAAAAAATAAAATAGAAGCTCTTAATACCAATCATGTGAAAGAATATGTTTTGACCAATACGTGATGATACAAATTTTGTTGGGATATCGCCTACTAATTGATATATTTGGTAAATTATCATTTGTATCCGGTCTGGATAGATATTCCGTAGTCCCATATACATCTTTCTGTGTACAGTGCTTGTAATTTTACCAAGACTGGGCCAAATTTCTTATCATTTTGATGATTCCTGAACCTTGCAGTACACACCAATATTTATACGCTAGATGATAAACCTTTTTTTGATCAATTCCACACCGTTTCTTTCACAATGCAATTGCATGACCAAAACTGGTCTTTACCTTTAAGCGAAAGAGAGATTAATGGCAAACTTTGACACGACTCTGACCTGGTTCAGGAGGGGTGAATCCATGACGCCGGCACCAGATGACGATCCTCTTCTTGCTCCACATGGGCACCTTGCGCAGGCACTGGACCCGGGCCTTGAGGCGTGTCAGCTTGTCCCTCATGAACACCACCCTCTGCCACTCCATCGAGCGGCGCTTGGCCAGCGTCCAGGAGTGGTAGTGCTCCAGGGAGGTGGCGCAGAATGGCAACTCGTTTTGAACTGCAGGATAGGATACACATGGCAAAAGTCAATATTGTATCACATCAACAAGGATTGTGGTTTACTTTGTAAGTAAATGCAAAAAATAATAATACTGTCAAAAAATGTCTACAGCGCCCGCCCAAGGGAAACAAAAAATGTGCTTGCTGTAGACAGGTAAACAAACAAAAAGATCATATAATGCTGTATAAACAAAAAAACAGAAGTAAGATAAAACATACAAATATGACAAAACAATTAATTAATCAAAGGATGTGACACGTCGCAGTCCACGTTCTCGTCATGCAAATCTAAAAGTCCCTATTGCCCTACTGACAACTGTTACAGCCAGGGAATACTTGGTCAAGTCAATGGAAAATAGATTTGTTATTCTTCAAAATGTTACACAAAAAAGGAATATATTTGGATATTTTTTCATTTAATTTTGTTAGAGCTTGTTCACACTACATTTCATGGAATCATAACCTCATTTAGACTTACCTCTTGTCGGATCTATGAGCGGTGCTTGTTCTGCCACGTACTTGACCAGCTGCTCAATGGACGTCACTCCGTACAGGTTGGTCTGCTCTTCAAAGTGTTCCCCAAGAAGCCTCTTCCAGATCCGCAAGTCCTTGCTCTCCCACCCCTCGACGTCGTCCCCGTCCTCCTCCTCCTCCTCCTTCCGGACGACCACCGCACCCTTGCCTAGAGTCAAGATAGGTGCCGTTGCAAGAGCAGCCAGGACTGGATCTGTCCCGGGCTCCTGCTTGATCCGAATCACATGCACTTTGCTCCCCCCAACCTTCGATGTGTCAAAGGCAAGGCACGAAGGCTTCTGCATTCTGGTGTTAACCACCTTGATCATGCACTTGCCGGAGACGCTTGTTTTCGGAGCGGTAGTGGATAGTTTGTTTCTCTGGGCAATGTCACAAACGACAGCTCTGTTGGTCTTTTTGACTTCCTCACTGACGATGTTAGTTCTGGTGATGACCCGTGGATTCTGCTGCTTCGCAAAGCTACTTTTGGTTTTGTCACAGTGGCCGTTCATGTTGCCTGTGGCTTGGTCTGAACCCACTTCTACTTCCATGGCTTCTTCAATTTCAACATCAATGTTTGGTTCCTCCTTGATTACTATTGTACTTGGAGTAACACCATTCCCATCCGATTGAACTAGGGCGTCATTGGAGACTTCCGCAACTTCAACATCGCTGCATATTTCAGAGACACTAACTTGCATAGATTCAAGATTTTGCACTTCCCCCTCGGGTGACAACACAGATTTACTTGAGGTAGCTCCTGCAGTTCTGTCTTTACCAATCACTTTGGCAGCATCAATAAGATCTGCTCTTTTGACACGAACAGAATCCAAGGAAATATTTGACAGTCTATTACCATCTGAACTGGTGTTGGTATTCAAAATCGAGGCACCACCTGTAGCCTCATCCTTCACTAACACATTCTCTGCAACCTCCACCACACTTGCCGTGCTGCTTGCATTGTTTTTGTCTGTAACTTTTGAGAAGTGGTCTTTGACATCATCAAGAGGAGGTACGAATTTGGTAATTGTTTTGACAGTGGGCTGTCCTGTTCGGACTTGTATTGTTTTATTAGAGTTTGTCAGCAATGACGCTGACTGCGATTGGAGTACAACTGTCTTTGAAGACACTGCTTTTGAAGCTTGCGACAGAAGCACTGACGCACCACCCTTGATAGGCAAAGAAGCCTTCTGTTGCGACAAAGCAGTCATCGGAATCGGATTGAGAGCAACCTTCTGTGAGACGGGCGCCACCTGACCTGACACCACGTTCTGAATACCTGAGATCGTTTGGACATTGGTGCTCTTCGGAGCGGAAGGTGTGCGTTGCACCAGGACAACGCCACCAGCAGGGGTTCTGGCAAGCTGGCCCTTCATTTCGGGGATGAGTGAGATGCTGGAAGACGTCAGAGCCTGTTGGCTTGTGGAGGCTCCCCCAAGAGCTGCAGGAACAAGCTTGGCCAACGTCTGGCCAGCTGACCGCTGTATCTGGATGACACCTCCTCCAGAGGCCACTCGCTGTGTGGCAGGTTTGGGAGAAATGATCGTCGATGCGCCCGATTTCTGGGTGACGGCGATCCGTGTCATCGGCTGGCCGGCAGTGTTAGTCTGCGGGGCGGAGGAGGGGCGGGAGGAGGGATTGGGGACGGGCTGGATTTGAACGATGCTGCCTGGAGGAAGGGGCGGAACTATGGAGCCTTGGGGAAGTATGAGAACATTGCTGGGTGATAGAAAGGAGCCTGAACCTGAAAAAAAAAGGAATTTGAAAAGTAGACATAAAGAAATATAACAATTAATTAAATAGATGTAAATATTTTCATTTTCACCATTATTATCACCAGTTTTTGTTTTAATTTGTTATTGTCAGCTACATGATAAATTTTTTCCGATCAATTCCACACCGTTTCTTTCGCAATTCAATTGCATGATCAGAATTCAACTTTATCTTTATCCTAATCTTCTATAGTATTTATCTGAAAATAGTGAGATTAGCTGAAAAGCACATCCAGCCCCTCAAATATTTCAATATCCTGCTTGTATGGTAGTGACACACAGACTTTAGCCTCTGATACTAAAAGCGTTTGGACAGTTGCGAAATGTGGTTTTCTAAGAAGAATGATGAAAATCCTATGGACTGACAAAGTTAGTAATGAGGAAGTTCTTAGAAGAGCTGGAGTGCAAAGGAAAATTGTATGTGAGATGTTGATTAAGCATTTGAAGTTCATGGAATATTGCTTAGACAGGGAAAATTGTGGGAAGGAGGAGAAGGGGAAGAAGGAGGATACTTTGGTTGGACAGTCTGCAGAAATTGTTGGAAGAGAGAGGAGTGAAAGAACTGGGAGTAGTGCTAATAGAGAAGGCTAGGAGGCGAGGGTTGCTGAACAGCATGATCGCCAAAGTCAATCAATATGGTACTTAGAGAGAGAGAGAGAGATCTTGCTTACGTATACTAACCTTGCTTAGATGCCTGTCCTGGGTTGGATCCTCGGCCTCCTTTCCCTGATTGGCCAGCGAAGACCTGCTGAGGGATCAAGATCACCTTTCCCTGGAGGTTCTTGTCCGTTGACTTGGCCGTTATGTAATACTGCGTCCCGGCCGGAGGATTGGACATGACTGGCACGACGCCTGGCTGCTGCTGCTGCGGTTGTTGCGGACCCCTGACAGAAGGAGACTGCTGGACCAACGTGACACCAGTCGAACCCTTCCGAACCAATTGCGACGCCCCGACAGGTTGTTTTGCCAGCTGCGATATGCTGACCGTGCTCTGCATTGACGGGTTGGACGAGCTGACCAGGGTCTGGGAGCGTCCTGCAAAGCTTGGGACTGGAATTCTTTGGAGGGACACTGTGGGGGTTCCAGAGACTGCCTGTTTGGCAGCTTGCGTGGTGACTTTCCCGTTGGTTTTGGCTCCCAGGACTGTCTGATTCAGAGTCACCACTGTCCTGTTCTCCATCTTTCCCTGTGGAGGAGACACCGTCCTTGAGGGTTGTACCTCCTGGACAATCTGGCCATCCTGGATCCGTATCAGTTTACTTCCCGGTGATGATATGGCAACATCCCCGACATTGATAGCCCCTGTATGCGTAGGAGAAACTTGCGCGTCCTTCCCGACCTGATTGTTCGCTCCCTTGCCTGATATCAAGGAGGAAGGTGTGAAGACAACGGAATCAGTGCCAGTAGGACTGACTTGGGTCGTCTTGATTGCCTCCAGGACAAGACTCTTGTTGACGTTGGTGGAGATGGGACCCAGTGGAGGCATGGCTCGTATTGGCTTTGCCGTATGAAGCAGGGCAGGTCCTGACTGGGCTTTGACCCTTGATGAGAGCTTTCCTAATGACAACGCTGATGTGGATGTTATATCTGCCAATCAAACAAAAGAAACTTAAAGATAAAGTTGAGTTCTGGTCATGCAATTGCATTGTGAAAGAAACATTGTGGATTCAATCAGATTAGGTTGATCATCTAGCATATAAGTATTGGTGTGTACTGCAAGGTTCTGGTATCATCAAAATGATAAGAAATTTGGCCCAGTCTTGGCAAAGTTACAAGCACTGTACACAAAAAGATGTAAAATATATATGGGACTACACAAACATGTGGCATACAAATCATGCCATAATTAGAATATTAAGGTATTTGAAGAGCCATGCTTTTCAGGGAACATATTTTATCTGATGTTCTTCCACACTTGCATAACACAATGATAACACCCACAAATTAATTTTTCGCCTCTTCCCAGAACTCAACCTTCTTTTTATATGACATATTGAAAGGCTCCAAGTATGCCTTACTATGAGCATATAATTATACAACTACCCTAACAAACATTTAGCTCAAATATAATTGAGGACAATTTGAAAGGTGTACCGGTAGCTATCATGCAACTTTGAATGTCGGAAAAGGCTAGTATGGAATCAGTGTTAAGTTATTCTGATAACCCAGACAGTGAAAACTGTCACTTAAAAATTAAAAATATTACTGATATTAAATTGCTGCTTTTTTATTCACACATAGCAGATGTATCGCTAAAGATCCCTTTGCAAAATCTATCTTAAAGATTCCAAATCCTTGACTCACAATATTGGTAATAAATAGAAACAACATAACATCAAATAATCCTAAATTAAATTCTATAGAGAATATTGATAAAGAATAAATTTGTTTAACCCCTGCAAGAGACTTTATGATAATTTATATATCTTCTTTGACTTTACCAGAATTTTCCTCTCGCGGTCTGTCGTAGTTGGAGTCTATGGAGATGGGCGTGGCTCTGTTGCTGCCATCTCCCGGCAATGACTTGACAAGCGGGCTGGATAGGCTGGAACTCCTTGAAGGAGGCCGCGAACGATCCGGCGTGGATTCGGGGGTTTTCCCCAGCGTCTCTAGAAGTAGCGGACTGGGGCTTGTTAGGCTCTGCCTTCGGGCGTCGTCGTTGGCGAGGGCCAGTGAGTTACGAAGCGGAGTCGGAACGCGAGAGAGGTCAGGCTTCAGCCCCTCCTTGTAGTTGACCTTGGTGACGGTTGGGGTCGAAGGTCGGGACAAGGGGTCGCCGGATTCATTGAAGAGGTAACGGTCTAGCTCAACATCAACAATCTACGAGAGTTTCAAGTTCGGGATACGCCGATTAAAATGTTTGTTGATGTGCATGGAGAGAATAATGAAAAGCATTGTCTATTTCAGTAAGAGTGCAAAGTAAAAACAAATTTCATGTAAATCTGATTTCAAATAAGATATTAGAGTTTCAAGTTTGGGATACGCCAATTAGAATGTTTGGTTGATGTTTATGAAGGAAATGATTAAAAGCATTGTCTATTTCAGTAAGAGTGCCAAGTGTAAAAACAAATGTCAAGTAAATCTGATTTCAAAATAAAATATTATTTTTAAATAGTGACTAATTTAGTAATAGAAATAATAATATTTCTTGATAATTCTAAAATCAATGTTTATATAAGCACTTTGCAAAGGTGTTCTTCCTTGGCCATGTGGTTTCCAAAGCCACAGCAAGGCAGCAAGAGAGTGACTATGGAACTATCTCAATATTTCTCCATTCAACATGCCAACCCATCTTCCAATAAAATGAGAAAAGACTAATTTTAACGATACAAGTTGGCCATCTTCCTTACCGTTTCTGCACCAAGCGTCTGTAATCCAGTATATGTCCTGTCCAGCTGCAAGAGGAACATGAAGCAAATTTTTTTGTTTTAATTTAAAAATATTAAAAAATATTGAAAAAAAATCCAATGTTGGCAATGAAATAAAGCGGCATCAGCTTCAGCTTTAAGTTTAAACGAAGTCTATTCTTATGCCAAACTAAGAACTAGTTACCTACAGCAAGCTCTATGGTATTAGATCAAGGATTCATGAATAATTCAGTACTTACTATTAACATCACGATAATCCTCTCTTTTTCTCACTCTCCCCTCTCTCTCTCTATCTCTCTCTCTCTCTCTCTATCTATCTTTCTATCGCTCTCTTTCTATCTCACTCTCTCCCTCCATATTTTTCTATCTCACTCTCTCTCTCCCTATTTCTCTCTCTCTCCCTCTCTCTCACTCTCTCCCTCCATATCTCTCTCTCTCTCTCTCTCTCTCTCTCTATCTTTCCATCTCTTTCTTTCTTTCTCCCTTCCTCCCTCCCTCTCTTTCTGCGTTATGACAAATTAGACTAAGACGAACCTTGAGTTGGTGTATAATGTCAACCTTCTTATTGCGGGGGTCCCTGAAGTGAAGCTGGACTCGGATGGGGAATTCTCCCCAGCCTCTCCTGGTCAGATGAAATGGGGGCTCTCTGTAAAGTAGAAACATGACAAACAATTGATTAAAAGTGAGGTTATATTATGAAGAAAGTGCTCATCCTGGCATATATAAACAGTTAACTTAATTACTTATACTCTGTGTAACTATCACATCTTTGTTTTGTTGAATACTTTTAGATGTAAGCATAAATATATCACTTTCTCAAAAAACATAAATCCGGAATAAATTGTTCAAATACTTAAAAAATTATAAAACTCGGCAATAGTATAAATAATCTAGTTGTTAGTTGTATGTAGGTAGATTAAAAGTATAGTATTTCCCCATGCTGTAAATAGGTCATTAACATAGTAGCCCTAAGATCAATGCGGCGAAGATAGCTTGTTCATTCACCCTAAATATACATAACCCTACGACAATCCCCCAAATGTGCGAAAATAAAACGTTCTTAAGAATACTCAATAGTATACAATTAATACGCAGCATTAAGGGCATAAGTAAGAATTACCTACACAAGGTACTTTTGGAACAGTCTAACATGCCTGAGGTAATAGACAAGGGTGCTTGGATTGTTGCAAAGGTACCGAGTACGCGAGTGTGGGTAATTTTTACTAATGCCCAAAAAAAATGGTGTGTTTTATTTGTTTTAAAAGATGATGTTTTATAACATGATTTTACTAAAATTATGTGTCAGGCAAAATAAATGCCTGGTCACGTGTACGCTCTCAACCAATCATTTGACTAGGATTTGTGTGATCATCTTATAAAGGCTTTTAACAGTATTCCATCTCTACAAGATCCTTTCAAACTTACTTCACTTCCAGGAGGTCATTGGGCCTGTAGCTGGGATGGAGAAAGAACCAGACCTTCTCCACAAAGTGGTGTATCCGGGGTTCTTCCGGCGGGCCCCGGACGTAGACCATCCACTTGTGTGTGGAGGGATCACTGTCCTCACGATGGCCGGGGGTATGTACCTAATTAAAGAGAATTGGTAAACATGGACAGACCAGTGAATAAAGATTGCTCAAACACAGATTCTTGCAAACGCAGAAAAGGGGGAGGGAGAGAAGACAGAGAGAGAGAGAGTAAGAGAGAGAGAGAGAGAGAGAAAGAGAGAGAGAGAGATAGAGAGAAAGGTAGAGAGAGAGGAGAAATAAAAGAGGAGAGAAGAGAGAAAAGGAGGAGAGATAGAGAGATTATAGAGCGATAAAGAGAGGAGAGAGAGAGGGAATAGAGACAGATGTTCAGAGAGAAGGGAGAGAGAGAGAGAGAGAGAAGATTTACTTCACTACCACTTACTTTGACACGTTCCCCACAATGATGCGCTTCTTGACGTGGAGCCGTGACCCTTCACCTGCGTCCGCCTGGTTCACTGGAGGTTTCAAGTTGTCCAGGGGTGGGCCAACTCCAAATGTATCCTAAACATAATAATCATATTCAATTAACAAAGAAAATAGGATAAATCACTCTCAGCTTCAACCCAAGGATGTTTCTTTCAAACAAATTAATATTTTCATATTAAACTTTTAGACATTTACTACTACTGCTACTGCTACTAATACTAATACTGATACAACACATGTACTACTGCTACTACTACTATTGCTACTGCTACTGCTACTGCTACTGCTTCTGTTACTGCTACTGCTCTTACTACTGCAACTGCTACTAATACTGCTACTACTACTACTACTACTACCACTACCACTACCACTACTGCTAATACTTATACTAATATTACTACTACTACTACTACTACTACTACCACTACTACTACTACTACTACCACTACTACTAATACTACTACCACAATTACCACTACTACTACTACTTCTACTACTACTCCTTGAACCCTTATCCCTTAGCAGGGATTGGTTAAAACTTAAAGATAATATGTTCCGTAATTGCAAGTACATGCATACTCATAATAGTAAGGGTATGGAGTTATGCTCTTGATCGTCTCTTGGATCTTAAAAAAAGTCAATTCCTTAAAATAAACTAGATAAGAAAACAAATTGTGATCACCTTAACACTCATCAATGACATGACATAAAAACTCTCAAATTAGGGGTGTTAATTACAATTTCTAATGGGCATGAAGATGGACTACTGAACAACAGCACTGATCCCTTTGTGACTCTTTCTTCTTTTTGTATTCAACTCTCAGAACATGCAACAGACTGATTAAGTTGAGGTTTGTCACAAGTAATTTCTGAGAGCAGGATAAATCGAAAGATTCGGCATTAAAAGAATTCAGGTCCCTTGCAAACAAAGAGTTTCCCATTAGCCCAAACGTAATCATTCTACTGCAAGCAGGGGGGTGTTTCACAAAGATCCTAAGTTGGACTTAACAATTATGGAAAGCCATTAGCATAAAAATGTTGATTCAAATCATTTATATATTATGTTATCAAGGAGATTTCATGTTCTTGATTTAATAAAAAGTCTAAAATACTTGAATTTTCGCTTTTGAATATATTTTTTTTTAAGACTACAAATGGCTCTCCATAATTTTAAGTCCACTTTAGAGTTAAGTTCGACTTAGGAACTTTGTGAAACACCCCCAAGGTAGTCTTCTCACCTCTCCTGAATTCCTAGGGCCCTTGGGACCAAGAAGCGGACTACTTCTCCCTGAGTCCAGAAAAGCTTCACTCCGACTCAGGAGCTCTCCGATGGGGGTGGACCGGCCACTCTCCATGGGAGGGGGAAAAGGGGGTGCCCCATCCCCTCGGCTGGAGGGCCGGGATAGGCTGATGTCCCCCTCCCCGAGTTGCAAGGTGGGAGGGGGACTCGGGGACTGGGAGGGCTGGCCCAGGGCCCGCTGGATGGCAGGGTGGCTCAGGTCCAACTTCTGCTTACTCTTCTGCAAGAAGGAAGGAAAGAAGAAAGCAAAATCACTAAAGGAATACTACTTTAAATACAGATTTTTGGTGATTGATACATTGTAAAGATAAACTTGAGTTCTGGTAAATAAAGAAAATAAATTCTCACAGAATCCAACGTAACTTACACTGAAGTTCAAGATTATCGTACATACAAATGACATGTGCCATACATTTTTGGTAGAAAATGTATGGTGGCTGATAATGAGCATAAAAAGATAAGGAAATCCAGGTAAGTAGGTCTGACACCATGTGCAGGTCACTTTGTGCAAACGAGAGTTGTGTTTTTTATTGCAGATGATGCCCAGTAAGTTTGTGTGCGTTGTTTTTATTTCAATGGTTCAAACAACCAATCTACTGCAGGATAAACAATCTAGAATAAATCATAGCAATTTTCTCTCAAAATACGATTCCCATACCAGAGCCCAAGATTAGCTTTAACTAAATGGTCAAAGAGATCAGTAAAAGTAATGTAAAATGACAGTTATTGCTCTTGTGAATTAATGGCATAACTATTAAAGCATTGACTTCCTGTACATACCTCTCCTGATGTGGATGAAAGTCCGGCCTTCCCAAAATACCTTGCCACAATGCACGCTCTCAGCTTGTCAAGCTGGATGCGAGCCTTCTGGAGTCTCTGTGAGAATTAAATGCAAAAGATCAGAGATAAAACATGTTACCCTGTGCCATATGATGACTAATATTTCCTGCAAACTTTCCTTTGAGGCAGATTTAACACAGGCTAATTGGGGATAAAATGTTTGGAATCTGCTGTATACATGTATATTGTAGGCTGTCAAGAGAGAGAGAGAGAGAGAGAGAGAGAGAGAGAGAGAGAAAGAGAGATAGAAAGAGAGAGAGCGAGAAGAAAAAAACAGCCCTTCCTTTACAGGATGGGGCGAAACCTTGTTCACCCGTACATCTGGGCCCCCTCTTCCAAAGAGTTGATATCAATCACAACTATAAGAGATAGGAGACTGCAAACTTGCGATTGATTTGGATCAATCACAACTCTTTGTAAGACGGGCCCTGGACTGGTTACATAGGGAAGGGGATTCAAATGTAAATAACACTCCAAATTTCAAAACAACTAATCATCCATCTTTGTGATAAAATTCCCTTGATTAGAACAAGTTGTTCTTAAAATGCAATCAACATCTTCGGAGAGCAAGATTCAAACTATAGTAATTATAGAATTTTATAGGCACAACAATACAGTAGCTCTCATTAACTGTTACTGAAAACAAAATTACCCATGTGGTATATTAGCGAAAAACTTAAGATAACTTACCTCATCAACGACTTCGATCTCCTTTTCTTTGTCTAAGAGAGCAAGGTTAAATTGTTTCTTGATGACGACCTGCATTCGACGGACTGTCTGGTCCTTAGCTGCAAATAAAACAGATGCGAGACAAGAATTCCATTCTATTAACAGTTAACATAGCACAGAGGAAGAGATAACAAAAATGATATTTATGTATATTTTCAATCTTATCAAAATTTCTATAGACGGCATTGGACTTGTTGTCATTATTATCAAGCTAGTTACAGGGTCCTTTAGAACATAGCAGATTTTTTTCTTCTAAAAGTCTGTTCATGAGCTCTATTGAATTTGTTCGCCTCTTGGTAAACTAGATTCTTCATACTTGATACTTGATGGAGAATCATGGAGTAATCCCTTTAGCAGCTCAATCAGAAAGCTATACTGGGATGGTAGGTGAGGCAAGCAGCTGCAAGCAGTGTCATGAAGTGTAGAAATGGTGCATAGACGAAGCACTTATCAATGTACAGTAAAAATGCTAAGTCCAGTGCAAGTAAAAATGAAGTAAATTCTTATTTATTGTCTCATTAACTCCAAATTTGTCTGCGTTTGTATGATTATTTTGCTACCTGTCGTGTACTAGATAGTGACAGTTTACTATACAGTCAAACCTGCTTTAGTGACCACCTGTCTACAAAGACCACCTGTCTACAAAGGCCACATTTATTGTTTCCCTTGAAAATGGTTTCTCATTGAATCATGTACTAAAGGAACCTGTCTACAAAGACCACTTTTTGTGTTTCCCTTGGGCGGTCGCTATAGACAGTTTGACTGTATAATCATTTACCATCTTCCTCCTGCACTCGCTGTCGCTTGGCTGCGGTCGGCGTGGAGATGACCTCATAATCTGGGTCCTGGTCTGAGCGAGACGGTGTCATCTGGAGTCGACGCTTGCTCGCCATGGTTGACTCCTGATGTAGAACTTCCTGTGGGAATCAAATTCTATAGATTAATGGGAGAATCATTATTTATATATTCATCAGCAAAACTTCTTTTTCTTTATCCTCTGCCTCCTTTTACTCTTCCTTCTTCTTGTTCTTCTTCTGCTCCTCCTTCTTTCCCTATTTCCGCTTCTTCTTCCTCTTCATCCACTTCTTCTCCTTCTTGATCTCTCTTTCTTCTTCTTCTCATTTTCCTCCTTATTTTGCCTCTTCCTATTTTCCCCTTCTTCTTCTACATCTCTTTTGTCTACCGATTCTTCCGTCATGTCAGTCACGGCTGATCACTTGATGACTCCTTGTCATTGACATTGCATGCCTCATCTTTCGACTCTTTCTTTCTTCACAAAACAATCGATTCTCTTTCAGCAGAATAGGTAAATTAAATAGAAATCAATTTCTAATGAAAAGTCTTGGTAAATCGAGATATGTAACACATTTTGCGGCAATAATCGCATCACATTCGTGGGGAAATATGGATGTGCAAAATTATCCACGAGCTTTTTTCTACTTTCACAATTTCTAACGTATGGGACTAGACAACCCATTCATCCATTTAAACAGCACACAAAATGAACGACCTGGGTGATTATTTCGCTATATTTCATAAGACAACCATTTCATACGAATCACAATAGCAGGAAATCAAGCAGAGGTGCTAATAGTATATTAATAGCCTATTTCTAAATTTGCAAATAATACTCACTTCTTGCAAAATGAGATTTTCTGGGCAGTTTTCGGTAATGGATCATCGGGTAAGGGTCGCCATTTCTGACCCCTTAATCTGTTGCTCCAGCATGTCTCCCTCTTCCGATGGTAGATCTACATGTTCATAATTATTGATGTCTTCTTCTTCTTTCTTTTCTTCTCCATTTCACCCTTATTTATTTCTTTCTCCCTTTTTCAACTAATCATCACAAAGGTTTCATTTTTTAGTTCACTATCTTTGATTCCAATTTTATCAAACAAGTTTAAATCCCATTTTCTCCTCCGAAACGATATCGCTTTTTGCATGTCACTTTTGTTTTCATGATGTCCTTACTTATAATTCTTTCGTGTTTTTTTCCCATATTATTGGTTCGTCCACAATTTATATTTTGTTATCATTCTCCTCTTCATTTTTTCAAATATGGTATTTTGCAACATGCAGACCTGCGATTCTTGTGTTTCTCCATTTATCGTCTCCTTTTACTATATTTTCTATTCCTTTTCGATTCTTCAAATAAGTTCTCATATGAATTAATTATGGCCTCTTCGCGGAAACCCTAACCAATTCCGTCCGTACTCGGGACAATAACCCTCCGGAAAACTACCTCTCGATAAACTACACCAACCCGAGGACAATAACCCTCCCCCCCCCCCCCCCCCCCCCCTCCCCAGGAAATTACCCCCTTGGAAATCCCCCCTACCAGAACAAGTTACCCCCCCCCCCCCCGGAAAGAGTTACCTCAGACAAATCACCCCCCCCCCCCATGACAATAAGCCCACCTGGAAATTACCCCCTTGGAACCTCACCCCCCCCCCCCTGACAATTACACCCGAAAAATGTTTTTCTTTATAATAAAAACTTATTATTAGGGTGGATTTCCCCTTTAATCAACAGGAGGTTATTTTCTGGGGGATGTAATTGTCATAGAGGGTAATTTCCAGAGGTAAAGGTTAATTGTCCTCAGGGGGGGGGGGGGGGGGTTCCTAGGAAATAATTTTCCGGGGTAAATGTCCTCGGGTGCGGTTGTCCTTGGGGGATAACCTTATTACCCCAGAGTCGCGCGAACCCCCCCCCCCCCCCCTTAAAAAAAATGAAGAAAAAAAGGGTATTTTATTTTATTTTTTGGGTAAGAGGAGGGGTAGTTGATTTTTTTTTAATGGGTGCTCCGTACCAGCCCCCCCCCCCCCCCATAATTTGAGTTAGAATATATAATTTAAGCAATTTTAGATTTACAAGTTCATCGACATCCCATTGAAATGCGTGTATTGGGATAACACACATAATCACAATGGGATGTCGTTGAACTCGTTTATATGACGGTTTTTTTTTAGACGATGCCCAGTTTCAATTTTTGCCTTTTCGTGACATCTCCCTCTAGCCATGTGTTCATATTTGGCATTGCGCCATCTATAGGCGGTTGGCGCAGACAATTTCTCGAGGGATATGTCCATGGTTATGAAAAAGCAAAGTAGATTGCCCATAAAATGTTGTCTAATTTCATGAAGTGCTTGAAAGCAGGCGCGGATCCAGGGGGGGGGGGGCCGAGCGGGCCTTGGCCCCCCCCCCCCCCCCGCAAAAAAAAAAAAAAAAAAAAAAAAAAAAAAAGAAAAAAGGAAAAGAAGCGAAAGGGAAAGAGGAGAGAATGGGAAAGAAAGAAGAGGAAGAAGAAAAGAAAAGGGGGAAGAAGGAGATCGGGGGCCGAAAGGGCTTTGCCTCCCAGGCTGTTGACCCCCCCCCCCCCCATATAACAAATAAGAGAGAAGGAAGGAAAGGGAAAGGAAAAGAGGAGATACTGGCGTACTGATAGGGGGGGGGGGGGCTAAGTGGAAATCAAATTCAAACGTGGTTTATTTCTAATTCCATAACGGTGGATTACAAATAATGCTAAAATGACATCATTTCCGAGATTTTTCCTCACTTTTTAGTAAATTATAAATGACAAAATGACAAATTCCTAAATTTGCAGCCAGGCAAGAAATATGATTCTTGAGATTCCTACATGTCAGGGCCCGAGGTACGGCGGGGATCGGGAGCCCCGAGCTCTCCCCCCCCCCCCCCCACACTTTTTTTGAAAAATTATATTAAAGAGAAATAAAATAGAATGAGAGCAAGAAAGAAAGAATAGTTAACTGCCAGTGTTAACAAATAATGAGGCATCAAAATATGCTCATCTGACCGTGATTAAATGCCTAAAACCCCTAAGCTTCCGTGGGCTCTGCCCCCTGGATCCCACCAAAGGCCCTACGACGGGCCCTTAGATGCTCATCTGACGGTAATTTAATGCCTAAAACCCCTGATTTTGGGGGGCTCCGCCCCTTGGACCCAACGCCAAATAGTTACCTGCCAGTGTCACGAAATAATAAGGTATACAATAAAAAAAAAAATGCTCATATGACCTTAATTAAACGCCTAAAACCTCTGAGCTTCTGGGGCCGGCTTCGCCGCCGCCCCAGACAAGGATTAACAATCGAGAACGGTACAGCGAATCGTCTTCTTTCTCTCATAATCTTATGAAACGTGAAGCTTCCGCGCATTGCGCAGGAGGGGGAACCTGAATTCAGACAAGGATTCAGAGGCGAGAACGGTAATACCAATCTTTTATGATTTAATTAAACGTAACAGCTTCCGCACTTCGTGCGGGATGGAGGGGAAACTTAATTCCGACAAGGATTATTTTCGAGAGCGGTACAACGAATCGTCTTCTTTCTCTAATGATTTAATGAAAATTAAAAGCTTCCGCGCTTTGCGCGGGAGGGGGGAACCTGAATTCAGACGAGGATTAAGAGTCGAGAACTGTACAACGAATCGTTTTGTTTCTCTAATGATTTAATGAAACGTAAAAGCTTCAGCGCTTCGCGCGGGAGGGGGCAGAATCTAAATTCAGACGAGGATTATTTTCGAAAACGGTACAACGAATCGTCTTTTTTCTCTAATGATTTAAGGAAACTTTAAAGGGGGGAACCTGAATTCAGACGAGAATTTAGAGTCGAGAACTTACAACGAATCGTCTTCTTTCTCTAATAATTTAATAAATCCTAAAATTTATGAAACGTAAAAGCTTCCGCGCTTTGCGCGGGAGGGGGGAGAATCTAAATTCAGACGAGGATTATTTTTTAAAACGGTACAACGAATCGTCTTTTTTTTATAATGATTTAAGGAAACTTAAAAGCTTCCACGCTTCGCGCAGGAGGGGAAGGGGGTAAACTAAATTAAGACGAGGATTAAGAATCGAGAACTGTACAACGAATCGTCTTGTTTCTATAATGATTTAATGAAACGTAAAAGCTTCCGCGCTTCGCGCGGGAGGGGGCAGAATCTAAATTCAGATGAGGATTATTTTCGAAAACGGTACAACGAATCGTCTTTTTTTTATGATGATTTAAGGAAACTTAAAAACTTCCGCGCTTCGCGCGGAAGGGGGGGGGGGGATCTGGAATTCAGACGAGGATTAAGAGTCGAGAACTGTACAGCGAATCGTCTTCTCTCCTAATGATTTAATGAAACGTAAAAGCTTCCGCGCTTCGCGCGGAGGGGGGGGGGGGAAACTGAATTCAGACGAGAATTTAGAGTCGAGAACTCTACAACGAATCGTCTTCTTTCTCTAGTAATTTAATAAATCCTAAAAAATGTCGCGCTTCGCGCGAGAGGGGAAAAACTAAATTCAAACGAGATTTATTTTTGAGAACGGTACAACGAACCGTCTTCTTTTTCTAATAATTAAATGAAACGTCAAAGCTTCCGCGTTTCGCGGAGGAGGGAGGGGGAAATTCGCCCCTCCCTGCACCTACCCCCCCCCCCCCCCGCATCATGTCACTGTTGGTCACCATTACGTACCAATATTTGGCTCGCAAAATTTCAAATTTGGGCCCCCCCCCCCCTAAGAAATCCTGGATCCGCGCCTGCTTGAAAGAACATGATTTATTCTTGATTAAGGAGAAGGTAACGGTATTCTGTGAACTTCAGTGATCAATCTACAGAATAACAGAAATTTATCAATAGATTTGATAAAAATTGAGTTCTCGGAATTAAGATATAAACTTTATCAATCAAGAAAAACCATATTGTAACATTCATTTCATGAAAAGATGCAGGAAAAAAAATATTCCTACTTTATCGGCGGTAGTGTGATTGCGATAGAGCATTAATGGAAAAAATGGAGCAGTCTAACGTGATCCCTCTCCCTCTCTCTCTCTCTCTCTCTCTCTCTGCCTCCCTCTCTCTCTCCCTCTCTCTCTCTCTCTCTCTCTCTGCCTCCCTCATTCTCTCTCTCTCTCTCTCTCTTCACAAAACTTATAACAATCCGCCTGTCAAATTGTGTAATTTGAAATGAATTATTTTTAACATTATATTTATTACCCAATTTCGTTATTTTCATATGATTTAGAGAAGAAATGGTAATTACTCAAAAGTGAGCAGGCTATGTGATGGTTCAATTCATTTTTATCGAATAAAACAAAAATATTTAAAGGGGTGAAAATATATAGGCCTACTTCCGATATCGCTTTCTTTAAGCCTCACCCCCCCCCACCCTCTTTATTTCCCCTCTCTTTTTTTCTTTCTATGTCTATCTCGGTCCCCCCCCCCTTCTCTCTCTCTCTCTCTCTCTCTCTCTCTCTCCTCTCTCTCTCTCTCTCTCTCCCTCTCCCTCTCTCTCTCTCTCGTCCTTTCTTCATATTAATCACTTCTCACTACTCCATTCCCATCTCCACCTACCCTCCCAAAGGACATGCAGGGCCATAGTATTTTGCTTAATTAGTCTACACAATGTGGATTTATAGTTAATATTCTAAGACAACCTGAATCATGATTTTGACTTTCTTTAAACAGCGTTTTTAACGCTGCTCTTCTTGTTTTCGTTTCTTTCTCTTTAGTTCCAGCAATACAAACATGTTTGATTTGTTTTATTGTTTGATCATTTATCCAACATTTCCTCCATGTTTCTGCATGTTACTTTAACCCTCCCTATGCGATCAGCTTAATGAACTATTATTCAATGTTAAGACTGTTATTGGGGTTTAGTGCTTTAGTGTTGACATGTAGCTTTAACTTATTATTTTCCATGAGAACAACATTTATCAGGTATCAAGTTGCCGAAAAGGATAAGGATAAAACCGTATGGAGAGCCAAATTCAACAGCAGATTGATGTCCAAACGGTGTGGGGTATTTTAAGCGTCATCAACAAATAATCATAAATCTAACACGACACAGATTAATCTATACAAATAAAGAAAGTGACGATTCCGTTCAATTCATTTTGCTGACATCTTGCAATACGTAATTTTATTACATAACAAAAGAAAACAGTAGACTGTAAAAAGATACAAGACAAATGATATTACAGGCACACTCAATTAAATTGATGGCACCCATCGGATTGTGAAACATAAGGTAGAGAGATCGAAGTGTGTGCAATTGGTTTTTTAAAGACGTGTATCAATCAGATATGATTATTTACGTTTGGGGACCGACTTTTAACGTCACCATCCGAAAGACGTGACTAAGTTTCGAACCTGCGTCCTCGGCTGAATCAGTTTGTAGCTTCCTTTATTAGCTGGATTACAGGCGCACGCCACAACGCCCCGTAGAAGTAAAGTGTTTGGACTTTTAAATCAGATCGTTGCACTCTTTAATTTTCTCCGGGAATTGTCTAGACACCACATTTAATACACCATGCCGTATTTTCTGTGGAATAAATCGCGACCGATGTAAACAAGAGACCAACAAATCTTTCATTTACCAATGCCCCTTTCCCTTTCTTTCTTTTTCTTTATTTCTTTATTTCTGTCTTTCTTTCTCTGTCGGTCATTGTCTATCTCTCTGTATATCTCTCTCCTCCAAATCATAAACGTTCCCGTCATTCCATAAAGCTTCAAAACGAACTGAATGTTGTGAATGTAGAGATAGGCTCAATCAAAATATTCCTCGTTTACTTATTCACTGTAACAACATGACACTGTATTATTCCGTCCTTGGTATTTCTGCAGCAGCACCTTACTTGAAACAATTTTGTCTAACTGTTTTATAACTCCATGCATATCGACCTGTCGCTGATGAGTTAAACAATAGTTACTCTGTCTTGTATGCTTCGTTCTACCAGAAATGTTGGTATAAAAGTACGTGATGCAATGGACAACAACATACTTTTGTAAAGTTACTTTCGCTGTTCCGGTTGAAAATCATCTAATTATGACGATCGTTTCGAGTAATAAAAAAAAGTCTCTCAAATTGTGAAAATGATGACCACAACTTCACAATCGTATGTTCCATGCAGAAGTGAAGGGATAAGAGTAACATCATTTACATCTTTGAATATAACAATAAGTTGATTTGAGTCGCACCGCCATATTGGACGATCGTCCGTCGATCACGTTGAAAAAAATCTAGTCCTTGTAAACCGTTGAATAAGAATCAGCTTGTTCACGGCCTTTCTCATGTTGGCCGTCGGTTTCTTCGCCGGGATCGTACTGGATTGTATCGCATCGTCGTCATGTTCGTACGTGTTCCCGTTCGATGGCGGCGCGGCTGGCCGAGACCATTCAAGATTCGGAGTTCTAAGCGAACGCGCTTTGCCTTTGCGCTTCATTTGTCTGCTCCGGTTCCACTCGCGAAACAAGTTCTCAAACACGTCGGCGACGTCCCAGATCTGGTGCCCGTCCTTGGCCGAGACTTCGAAGAACGGGAGGCCGAGCTCGTCGCCGAGTTCGACGCCTTCGAGATGCGAGACCATGCGGTCCTCGCTGTCGAGATCGTTCTTGTTGCCGACGAGCACGCCGGGAATTTGCGACGTCTGGAGGACGTTCTCGATGGAGCGCTTGCAGTTGACGATGGTCTCGAAGCTATTGCGATCGGTGATGGAGTAGACGAATAGAAAGGCGTCGCCCCAGATCGCGTACCGGCTACGGTGACCAAGATAGTCCTGTGGGGAGAGAAGTCAACTTGTTAATCCACGTGGAATACTGTTCAATTTATGAGACAGAGATTGCAAGACGGAGAGAAGGGGGACAGAAGAACGGCCAAGGAGAGGTAGACATTATGCGGCAGGAAGGAGGGGATGGGTGAGGGATGGGCAGAAAAAGACAAACATAGAGAAAGCTAAAGAGACAGACAAAGAGATAGTTAAATAGAGAGAGATAGAGATAGATAGAGAGAGAGAGAGAGAGAGAGAGAGAGAGAGAGAGAGAGAGAGAGCGACAGAGAGGGAATAATACAGATACCATTGCAAACCTTTTGGACACTAAACCGTACAATAATATCCTGCCTGTTATTCAGCTGCGATACGTTTCCTACACATCAATTTATCAAATATCACCATTATCTTAAACATTGATGGATCCGGAGAGGATTCTGCATATATTTTTTGTTGTCAATACCATTTTAGTTTTATTCAAAGTTTGTAAATGGTTACATGCATACCTGTCCAGCAGTGTCTTGTATCTCCATGGTAACATCTTTACTGTCTACTCGAGTTTGGTGGCGGCATAAGTACTCTAATAGTAAGGAAAGAAAAGGAATATATTTCTCCAATTACAAAATTCGTAAACAATATTTTATGGCAATCTGTTAGTGTTTAGGGGATGGAAAAAAGGCTAGTACACGTACTTCCATAAACGTTAAAGGCAGGGTATTTTTCCGACATCGCTACCACTGCTGTTATGTACATTCCGGGTCCCGCCCGCGCGCGTCCCGCCCGTACACAATCCTATGACCCAAGCATCATCACGCGCGCATCATCAGTTAGTGATGAATTGTGGGACATGGCTGTCGACACATTTGGATATTGTGAGCAGCAGATGGCAGTATACGTAAATTTGAAGTTTATCAGTAGAATACCCTGTCTTTAATACTTGAAACTGTAAAGTTGCAAACATACAAAACATGCAGAGATTTCAAAAGATGGATTTTACAGTTGCAAGGATGAAACTCTCCAATCAAATGCTTATGTTTTGAGGACACTATAATCCTTTATTCATGTCGTTAAAATTCCAGACAACCCACATCCTATTCAAATAGCGACACCCCCTGGGAACATGGATTTCAATAAGTACTCTTAACTTTCATCTCTTTTGGCACTCGAGTCTGAGATACTTTGAAGTGAACGAACTATCTGCATAGCATTACGGCTTACCTAAAGTTGGATCGTAATCACCGATGAATCTCCGGGTTGTGTAACGCACTGTCAGAGCTGCAGAGTGAGAGAGAGAGAGAGAGAGAGAGAGAGAGAGAGAGAGAGAAGCAGAACACAACATTGGTTAGTGAGGTAGCCAAGATCTTTTTAATATAGATTAGGGAAAATTCATGGGGGGGGGGGGGGAACATAATTTCATAAGTTTTCTCTAATCTGTTTTCTCACTCTTTCATAGCTAGGCGGAAAAAAGAGATATTGCATTGCCTTTTGCGACAGACCCAAATAATTTAAAATTTAAGGTCGGCTCTCTAATTTTAAAAAATGTCACCGTTTTTTAGAAGAAAAAAAAATGTAATGAAGACTGCAATTAAGAGCAATACAACATCTTTTTTTGAGGCCTTATCTAAGTTATGTTTCGCTGATTTTTCTTTTTCTACTCGAGCCGTTTTCTATGAAGTTGATTGCCCTTTCAACATTATAATTTGTGGAGGAAATTAATTGATCTTGAAATTAATTCATGGTTCTGAAGCGGACACAAGGGATAACACGATTGAAAAGACGTTCAAGGAATCAACCATAAGGTGTGTGAACATTAAAATATGACATATTTCGAAGTTCCGAAAAATCCGAACATGATTTCTAGATTCAAAAGTTGAATTCGAGTTGATTTCTTGAAATCCTTTGCATTCGTGATCATTTAAAGCCCCACGGCACTAGTTTGACCAGGAGGGATTAGACCTCCCTGCATGGTCACTGGCAGGTGGTTATCTCAACAAACCAGCTCTCAATTAACATAAGAAAAAGAGGATCATGGGGACTACCAGGCCCCGATTAGGCATTGTTTGCTATATAGAGGGCGCAAGTAGCTATAAGTATTGTAGTGGGGCTTTAACAAAAAAACCTAACACATACCTGTTTTACCAACGCCCGGTACACCCAAGAGTACGACTCGGAAGGTGAGGCCGTCTGCCCGCGGACTCGTTTTCTTCGAATTCGACGACGTTATCGTATCAGCGATGTCCGGCGTATGGTATCCAGCGATGACCGTGGAAGCTCGACGTCGTCTCTGGGTCGTCATGGTGATCGTCACGGACGTCAATGACGATGGTGAATGTTCAGAGATGAGGATGTCGTTGACGTTATCCCAGGCCTCTGGTCGGCTTTGCTACTGCCTTAGCGTAAAGCTCACTCAATATTATGTTGCTTCTTTGCAAGCGATTGCAAAGATTATGTTCTTGTTTTTCCTTTATCCACAGGTGTGCTATACTATCAGCGGTTTTATTCGAATTCAATCCAAATCTACATTCGGGGTGAACATATTCCAATGTTGCGGTAAAAAAGAACACATAATCAATCAGCTTCTTACAATGTCCGCACCAATAAGTTCCCTCACTTATTCGGTTGTTATTCGTGATTAATCACTATACCTATTTTTGGTATCTAAATTTAAGGAAAAATGATATCGCGCAGCTGTTGGGAATAAATTTAAAGTACACGCTGGGTTAGATTTGTCGGTGCACGAAACTCGTCAACAAGTTGTTGGTCCCGTCGCGAAGAATAAGTCGTGCCCCTGCTAAAGCCAGCTGCCAACTCTGTAACTAACCGTGACACAAGGAGGATTGTGATCCGAAATGACAACCATCCCTTAATGACCAGGAAATATATATCATCATAGTTCACTTGTGTTTCTTTTTATAGAAAGCAAGTCATGATGTTCGGGAAAGGATTTTTTTTTTTTAGCTGTTTTCACTACTTCACGTTGTTTTTGACGGAAGGATTTTAAATAAAATGTTTAAAACAATAATGTGTTTGTCGTACCTTTTTCACCTCGGATTGTTTTTAAAAAGGATATGTTTTGGAAAATATTGCCTGGAATAGTTCTGGAATAGTTCTAAACAAGGGAGAGGGGATTGTACATAGCATTGCCTTAAAAACTAGAGATGCACATACGGCTTCTTCTCTCTGCAATCAAGTTTCGGCATTAGTATCAAAACAGTGAGATGGAAAGTACGACTTCCTTAACATTCAGTTTATATTTAACGATGTCCAATTAAAGGTGTCCTCAGGTGTTCCATGGTGTCAACGGTACATAACGCTTTCAAAACTAGATTCAGAGGTCTGATGGTATTCAGTGGTGTTCAAATGCTGCCCAGTGGTGTCAAATAGTATGCAATGGTGTTCAATGGCGTGCACATGGTGTGTTAATGGTGCCCAAATGGTGTCCAGTGGTGTCCGAATAGTGTACAGTGGTGTCCGATTGTCGAAAAACACGTTATGAAGGTTTTAAACCTTTCGCTGACGACTTGATCAGTGGATTCGCCGACCAAATTTTTCTGTAAGAGAGAGAAGAGAAAATTCAAACGGTCATATACTCAGAAGTTAACAGTTAAGATCACCCCAAACAGCAGGGGTGTATCCATTGATAATGAAGGTGGGGTGCATGAAATCCCTACGGAAAAGGGTGTAGGATTTTACCGTAAAGCAACACTGTGTGAAGGAGATATGTTACAAGCAGTATTAAATTTTAAATTATTATTTCATTTTATCTATTTATTCATATATTTTCTTATTCATTCAGATGATATCTTATTTCTTTCTTTCTTTTTTCTTTAAGTCTTCATTTTTTTTATTTTATTTTATTTTATTTTTTTTTTGGGGGGGGGGGGCGGGGGCAAAGAAAAAAGGGACCCTTTTAGTTATGAAAACTGTTCAATTTCCGTCGACAAATTAATAAAATAAAGATTGAAATGAATTCTTTTTAATAAATATCTGCTTTTTATTCATTTTCAAATGAAATTATCTGTGCACAGGCCTATATATGGATATCCTATTTCCATTTAATTAGAGTCTGGCATGCAATTATATTGATTAGCGAACTAATTGAGAGGCATACTGTTCAATGCCATATAGTTTAAAGCAATAACAAGTTTCTATCTGTATAATTTATTGTGTCTGTTAATAAGCACGACGTCCTCGACGAGGGGATGTATACTGTTTCCGACCTTTAGAGGGCGTCAACAAGTCATTAAGAGGCCAACTTATTCATTTCACTTTCAGGGGCGTATTGCCAGTCAACACGGCTGTAAACCATAATAATTTCCTTATGAATCATAATTGTTATATAAGTAAATTACCATTCTTGTATTTATTATTGAGCATGGTTATTAAAGGTAATACAAAGTGTTGGTATGGGGTCATGAATTTGGTTCAAATGAACATATTTGAAGCATTATGCGATCCTACTACAGTGATCGTTGTCGCGGTTAAAATCGAGTCTAAAGTTATAAAATTGTAAATAATAAACTCTCTATGTTGTATAGCTCCCTCTCAAGTTCAAGATATTAAGTAAGCTATGAAACAATGTTCCTTGACTAAAATCAACCGTTTAGCTATTCCCGTTTGGAAATTATAGGCCTATATCACAAATACAAATTCTGAGATTGTTATGGTCGCAACTACCATTGTACGACCGTAGGCGCTATTTCAAATTTATCAAAATTTACCGGGAGCACCGGTAAATTTGTATATTCAATTTTTTATCGAAAGCAGAAATGTTTTAGGGGCTAAAATTTTTAGTGCTTATAATACATCCAAAGGGGAATCCAAATATATCAAAATTGTAAAGAATTATTTTCCACGCAATTTTCATTATTTCCCTAAACTTTGTATTACCTTTAATTGGAAGTATGTAGACCTATAATTTTATTTTCTTCGCTCTTTCATCATCATTTACTTCACAAATGAATCTTGGAAATGATAATCCTTCATACAAATTCTGAATTTTCCAATCACAGCATTAAGTCAATATGTAGGCCTATCAGGTTGTGGGTTTATTTTAACAAATCTTACACATCACTAGCTGGAGCTTCCTTACAATTGTATTGTTAATAAATAGATTACTGCTAATACACAATGTATATCTTCATATCTCTGTGTATCATATCTGATTAATTTGCATAACAAATACCAGACGTTTTTAAAAGCCTGCTGGTACATAGTAAACACGTGTTTGTTAGAAACAACATGCTTGTAAGTTCCTAACGTTTACACAGGTTGCGGTTAAATGATTATCTAGATAATTGATCACCGTTTATACAACTCTTACGTAAGCCGTTTGGCGTCTCATCAAACAATTAGCCCACAGCTTCGTGTCCTAAAATCTAGGCTATTGATAATAAGGTCACACAAAGTTTTTTCCATGCGCTAGATTTTACTGATGTTACTCCTGAGAATCCAAAGGTGGTGTAGAAACATGCATACATTCAGGATTATATTGTGTATGTTAAAGCGTTATGGATGGTTTTCACCCTGTGTATATTATTTGCTGCTATGTTGGACAAGGTAGAATACTCTCGCTTGCTAGAGGTCTTTGTGGCAAATATATATTTATATATATATATATATATATATATATATATATATATATATATATATATATATATATTTAGGCGTGAAGAAAATGGTCTTCACGCCTACATTTTCTGGAACACCCGTTGTCATGCGACTCATGTCAGAGTTGAGAATTCTTGCACTTTTATATATAAAAAACCATTTCGATTGTGATTATAACAAAAACGATTGTTTTAGTTCTCACTGCACAAGTTGATCAACGTAAATAACATTGTGTGCAATGGCACCGCGGCCCCCTCCCCCAAATCAGTGTTATCTAGGGTACGCGTATGCACGTTCCCTCCCTTTGAAAACACCCCCCCCCCCCCAACCCCCAACCCCTTAAGTCCGGTTTGTAAAGTCAATACGAGCCGATTTTGTTGGTGTATTTACGAGTCGGACTTTGTTGCGTGAAAAGTACCCCTTTGCCGGACACTTTGGGAACATGAATGCGGTCCCTCCGATCCCGGAGTGGGGGGGGGGGGGGACGGTATACAGAAGAGGCACGCGTTAAAAACTATCATTACATGGGAATTTTGTTTGGTCATTCACATAATTTTAAACTCAAACTCAAAGTTGGTGCTTATTACAAGTTATGGAGTAATGGCTAAAGACTAGTCTGAGATCAGCTGGTTTCGGTACGGTCGAGCGCTGATTACCATAATACAGTAGCAATATTAGCATTTTAACGATGATGCTTTGAGGTCAGGAATACATTGTATATAGGGTTATTACGGGTCACAGTACTTCATATTAGTGATTAATAGCTTTTGAGAAGAGGGCCGGTTGATTGATATAAAACGAGGAAGTTGAGAATCAAAATGTCTTTTTAATAGCGGGGGGGGGGGGGGGGTTGAAGGCCGGGCATATTTCCGACATAATGTTAAAACCAAAAAAGAAGAGTCAATCGATCTAATAATCCAAACAGAAAAATGGTCCTAAAACTTCAAACCTAAAAGATAGAATGGTGACAGAACATTTTGGGGTGCCAACCCCGCCCCCCACCCTCTGACGCAACGGAAATTGGATTTTTAATCAATAGTGAAAACTTGTTTGCATATAGGCCTATATCGATAACAAATCTATAATCCATTAAACACACGATAGCAACTATTTTTTCGAAAAATCACTTTGAAAGCAATTTCAATAGCCTTTTGTATATTATTTATATCCAATATAAATCATATTCGGATTTAATACGTACAACGTCATTGTCCTGTTCTCACATAAACACGATGTGACGCAAATTGCGCGATAGTTGCAATCGTGTTAAAATAAAATTGAAGAATAAAAATGTTTATTCACAATAATACATCCTGCAACAAATTGTTAGAATATTTACCTCAGTATCTGATATAAAACCACTATGTACAAAATGGGTTATGAAGACACCCCTTAATCCAAATTAAACGCCCTTGTTTGCCATTTTTTCGCATTAAAAAAAAAAGAATTCACTGATTGACAGATGTGCTTTGCATGCCTGGTGGACAACACCAAATTTAATGAGCCTGATTAGAGATCATTATCATACTAAATCTTCTGTTTCTTTGACTGCCATGGGTAATCAGGTAATGGACATCATAATCAGATAATGTCAGAAGAACGATTTAATACCAGGGATACCTACTCTAGAGCTGCTGCTGGGATCCGACTAGACTTCTTAGCACATTACTTCAATGACCCCGAATATCCACAAATCTTCAAAACATGAGTTCCCACTCTGTACATTTTGAAATAATCAGAAATAATATAACTCCTACAGCGATGGAGGGGCTACATAAATATCCTTTATTTCCCCTTTTCAAAGAATACATCCACCTGTGTATCATGGAGTGCACTGATTGTGCATAAATGAATAATGATGACATAACTCTCATGAGCACGTATCCAATATTTTGTCTCCGTGTATTTCACAATTAAATTGGTCTATCTGCTCATGCTCAGACTGCAACCGTGAACTGTGTCTATGAAGGTTCGTTCAGACACGGCGCTGGAAACCGCTGCAAAAAAAAAACATTGAATGTGTTGGACAATGCTAATATTTCCTAAGGTTGATTTTTAGAAAGTCTCAGCATTCGTGTCGGACTAAAAAGTGCTGTGCTGATGAAGTACAATAAAGGTCAAAACTATAATATGCATATACGTATTTCGTCGAAAATTACGGCATCCGCTAGCCATCAATAATATTGGTCCACGCCCTTTTGCCGGACACACGAAGCTCTGTTCTGTATCAAACGATTATTTTTTGGCAAAACAGTTTGATCTCCAGCATCCGTTTATCTATCAAGTGAACAAGGTTCGTGATAAAAAAAAATAGTGAAATACGACTGGGAAACGGAAACGGATAAATTATCTATAATTGCAGGTCAACTACAGTTAAAGGTAATTTGAAGTTTCTGTCCTGCAAAACGCGAATTTGGAAGCGATTTGATTTGAGATACATGCAGAAGGACGTTAGCTGTGTTTTTTTTCTATTAAATGCGGGGGATACTGAGAGACAGTGGATGTATTTTTCATTATTCTCTAAACAGGTTCAAACTTAATTTAATCAGAGGTGTTGGGGACAAATTAATCGACAGTCTTTGCTCAATACATTCTAAAAAAATCAGATTTTAAATCAACATTTTAAAGGTGGCAGTAGTGGCGTTATTTTCAAAATGGCAAATTAAACTTTTAATCTACCATGCATGGTGTAACCCCTCGGCCCTTTTAAATGTTGATATTCAAAGAAATATTGGGAACAAATCTTTCCTGCCATCCGACAGATCGACACACATTTTCAGCTTTATTTGGGGTCTACCTTATTTTCACAGAGGGCACATTTTCGCATGTACTTAATTACGGTATGCACAATCGGGTTTTTAGGAGGGGGCGGAGGGTTGTCAGGTTGTTTTGCAAGTTAGGGGTGCGCCCACTTTCTCCCTGACCCCAATCGTGCACCACTGAATACGTACAAA